CAAGGCTCTGGCTAGAATCAGGCGTCATCCTTGGCAGTGAGGGTCCTCACGCTGCAGCCAAGCGTGTTTGTGTGTCTCACCTCTTTCTGAGATGGAACAGGTACGTGTGCGATGAAGGCGAGGCCTCCATCCTCTCCCTCCAGCTCCTCCTGGTTCTCCTGGTCATCAGGCTGCAGAAATCAAAAAAGATTGTTCATATTCAAGCACATCTGTGTGTGTGTGTGTCAGTACATTAGTCTTTATTTTTCTCTTCTCTAAACTTATTTAACTTGGATGATTTAAGGACGCCCTCAAAATGTCCCCCATGTTTCTGTAAATAACCCACATGTTGTTGACGTTGGGTCACTGGATTGAATGTTAAATAAAACTAGAAAAATTTGCATTTCCTGCGAAAATGCTGTGTGGATGCCTTAACGCTGAAGATGTCTGCTGAAAAAAGATGAAAAAGTTGAAAAGTTGCAAAAAGTTGTATGGCGGTGAAGAAACTGAAAATTCTGCTGAAAAGTGGTGGAAAAAAAGTTGCCCTGAGTAGGATTCGAACCTGGCCCTTCTGGCCTCAAGTCAGCTATTCATCTCACTGAGCCAAAGTCATTCTCACAAAGAAGAGGTGGAGAGACTGACAATTCTGCTGAAATGAGCAGAAGCTGCTGAGAATTGTGCTGATAAGAGGTGAAAAGGCTGAAAACTTTGCAGAAAAGAGTTGAATGAGCAGAATTTCTGCTGAAAAGAGTTTTTTTTCTGAAAACAGCAGAAAAAAACTGAAGATTTTGCTGAAAAGGGGTGAAAAAGCTGAAATTTGTGTTGAAAAGAGTCAAAAAAGTTTAATTGTTAACTGAAAGAAATGTTGCCATAAGCGATTTGCCATTTGAACCCGGGCCTCCCAGTCTGAGAACGGCTGCTCATCTCACTGAGCTAAAAGACAGGTCAACCCGGCAAGGAAAATCAGTGATAATATGGCAGAAATGGGCAAAAAATATTGCAAAAAAAATTCAATATCTCAAAAAGTATAGAAGTTATGAGCACCAAAAGTCATAGCCGGCATTAGCAGAAAGAGCAGAATTTTTTAAGATTTGAACGGTGAAAATAGCACAAAAACTGAGGGAGTAGTTAAGCGCCAAAAAGTGTACGGAAGCAACCAGAATAATAAAGTAGGATAAAGAATAAAGAGAAACAGGAACTCAATAGTGTGGACGCCCTTTCAGGCATCCACACAATGAAATGAAAATCACGTAAACGCCCGTCTGTCAGACTCAGGCTGACTCTGTTCAGCTGGACATCTTCAGTGAAACATCAGGTGACTTCTTCAGTCTCAGCTGACTGCAGGTTTCCAGCCCTATGAACAAGCAGCACTGACTAACAATGGGCTGTGAGGTCATCATCATTGATATGCAAATTGTTGTAACTGCCGATCAAAGACCAGCTGACACTGAAATGTTTCACTGAAAACGATGAACAGCGTCGACCTTCTGGGACGTCCTCACCTGGAT